TCTGCAACAGAACTGAAACCTGCAACATTTTTTTCCAAGTCCGAAACACTCCGAAGCCCATCTAAAACTCACCCGAGCCCTCGGGGCTCCAAATCAAACATGCACACAAGTCTTAAATCATCATATGAACTTGCTCGTGCGATCAAATCGCCAAAATAACATCTAGAACTATGAATTCAACACCAAAACTCATGAAATTTTCAAGATAGTTTAAAATTTCTAACTTTTCAACCAAAGGTCCGAATTACATCAAATCATCTCCGTTTTTCACCAAATTTCACAGATAAGGTCTAAATACCATAACGGACCTGTACCGGGCTCCGGAACCAAAATACAGGCCCGATACCAACAAGATCAAATATTATTAAATTTCCAAAAACCATTATATTTTTCAGCTAAAGAATTTTCTTCAAAAATTCATTTCTCGGGCTAGGGACCTCGGAATTCGATTCCGGGCATACGCCCAAGTTCTATATTTTACTACGGACCTTCTGGGACCATCCGAATACGGGTCCGGGTCCGTTTACCCAAAATGTTGACCGAAGTCAACTAAAATCATCTTTGTAAGCCTAAAATCATTATTTCTTAAATTTTTCACACAAAAGCTTTCTGGTATCGCATCCGGACTGTGCACGCAAATTGAGGAGAGGTAAAAGGAGGTTTTCAAGGCCTTAGAATACGGCAACGGATTCCAAAATAAAAGATGACCTTTTGGGTCATCACATGAGCATTTGCGCTTCGCTCGATTGTTTGAGGGCATGAGTAGCTCCGTATCATGTATTATGACTTATGTGAATCGTCGGTTATTTTGGACTTAGAAGCGCGTCCAGATTGTAATTTGGAGGTCCCTAGTAGAATTTGGCTTGAAATGGCGAAAGTTGGAATTTTGAAAAGTTTGACCGAAAGTGGACTTTTTGATATCAAGGCCGGATTCCAATTCCAGAAGTTGGTGCACGTCCGTAATGTCAAATGTGACTTGTGTGCAAAATTTGAGGTCAATCGGACGTGAATTGATAGGTTTCGACATCGGTTGTGGAAGTTTGAAGTTTCAAGTTCATTAATTTTGAATTAAGGTGTGATTCGTCATTTCGATGTTGTTACGTGTGTTTTGAGGCGTCGAGTAGGTACGTGTTATGATATGGAACTTGTTGGTATGTTCGAACGGGGTCTCGAGGTGCTCGGGTGAGTTTCGGAAAGGTTGGGTTGTGTTGCGCTCGTTTTTTATGTTTCGACGTCGTTTCTTCAGGAATAAATGGTACCACATTGAGAAAATAAGCTCCAATTTCTGTTTTGATTGCAGCATTAGATTTGTATTGTAATTACAGAGTCATAGCAAAAAGAATTGTCGAATTTGGACATCGTATGAGGGAGTTATGCTCATTTTAGTGTCGGAGAGAGAGCTGGTGCTGGCGTTTTCGCAGGTGCGAAGTTGTGTCCGCATCTGCGGCCCTGCGAGTGCGAGAAATGGTCTGCAAAAGCGGAAATGACAGTTGGAGATGCGCAGGTGTGTAGATTTTATCGCAAAAGCAAAAATCCCTGTGTATAAAAAAAATTAGACTGCGTTCTTTTGGTATTTTGAGCATATCTTGAGTTCTAGAGCTCCGATTGAGGTGATTTTTGCGCCGTTCTTCTCGTCTTTTCATGGGGGTCAGTATCTAACTACAATTTTTGTATTTTAATATGATAACAAAAGTTTATTTTTGAATTAATCCATATTTTGATTGGAGAATTGGGGATTTTTATCAAAAACTTTTGAGTATTTGAGTTTGAACATCGAGTCGGAGTCGGAATTGGATGAAATTAGTATGGTTGGACTCATGATTGAACGGGTTTTCAGATTTTATGAGTTTTGTCGGGTTCCTAGGTGTGGTCCCGGGTTGGGCTTTTTGGCCGATTTTGGGCTTTTGATTAAAGATTCGACCTTTTTCCGATTGGGATTGGTTCCTTTAGCATTGTTTGATGTATTTGAGTTATTTTTGGTTAGTTTCGAGCCGTACGGATACGTGCGAGATGGCATTTTGGAGCATCGCTTGGCTTGCTCGGTATTGGAATTCGCTTGTTCGAGGTAAGTAACTCTTCTAAACTTAGTGTTGAGGGTATGAAACCCTGGATTACGTGCTATGTGATTGATGGTGAGGTGACACACATGCTAGGTGACGGCCTGTGGGCCTGCACCCGGTGAATTGTGACTCCGTTATATTCATGGCACTGCTTAGTGGACTTATTTTCTTGATATTTGTGTTTTCACCATGTGATTAGGTAACTGAGCTGTCAATCATGCTAGATATCATGTTTAGGCTTTATGCTGATATTGTTAGGACCCAAAGTGGTCGTCTCTTACTGTCATCTCACTAATTTTATTGATATTTCGTACTCAGTCATATTCATGCATTCATATCATATCTCAGTCTCAGTTGTTGTTTATTGATACATCATATCGTTATTGTCGGGCTAGTTTCATGACATTGTGAGCCCGTGAGTGAGAATAAAGAGATTGGTGACTGAGTGAGGATGAGAGCTTGATTATGAATGACAGTTATGAGATCGGGTTGCACGCCGCAACATGTTATATTGATTTATGCCTGGATCTGGCTTATGATAGCGCTTGGGCTGTAGGAGCCCCTCCGGAGTCTGTACACACCCCCAGTGAGCGTAGTTGATTATATTGAGGGATGGATCTTCCCTGGACATGGATCTTGTCCTAATCATTTATATACCTGAGATGGATCTTCTCCATGGGGCCGGATTGGCGTTCCTCGGTGCCGAGTGACTGATGGACACTGATGTATATATTCCGGGATGGATCTTCCCTGGGCCGTATGGGCCATATACAGTACCGGGTGGTTTAACACGATGAGTGGAAAGTGTGAGACAGTGAGATTGAGTATTTTGAGAGTGTGGGCACATGATTCATCTTTGAGATACATGGCATTGGCATGCACACGTGACATATAGGCATAGAGATGCATTTTTCCTCATGTTGTACGATATCACGTCATTCATGAATTTTTACACACATTGATATGTGGGCATAGAGAGGTCTTTCGTACTTGATATATGGAAAGAAAAAGAAACATATTATTTATTGTGGAAAGTATTTTTGGTAAAATTATAGTTTTCAAACTATCTCATATTTTTCGAAGATTTTGGTAAAAGATTTGGATTTTCACTGATATTCTTGAAAAAGCGGAATTATTTTTGGAAAAACTGTGAAAAAGATGAGCATTTTGTCTTTGAGTTACTTTCTTACTTATATGCTCTACGTTGTCATGAGCTGCTATTGGTTATTGGTGATGGACTCGACCTATGTTCCAGCTCGTCACTACTTTCAACCAAAGGTTAGGTTTGTTACTTACCAGTACATGAGGTCGGTTGTACTGATACTACACTTCTGCACATTGAGTGCAGATGTTGGCTGATGTTGCTGCTGTGTTCGATGGTTGCTGGATTTGAAGATGTACCTGCGTTCCTGTGGTAGCTGCCTCTTGTTCATGGTAGCCTTATATTTATAAAACTCTGTTTATGTACTTTTCAAGCAGAAGATGTATTTTCTTCATATCAGCTTTGTAAACTCTATTCTTAAAAGCTCATGATTTGTTCTACCAGTCATTGGGAAAGGTATAAGATTCAGATTTTAATCGTCTTCTTAATATTATTGAAATTGGATAGTTATAATTAGTTGGCTTACTTAGCGGGTTGGGTTAGGTGCCATCACGACTAGTGGATTTTGGGTCGTGACAGTTAATTTCTCTAATAGCTTAAACTTTTAGATATTTTGAAGCTTATCTCTTTCTTTAAAACGTAAATTAAAAGGAAATAGTCTTCGGTCACTAATGTCATGTCACGACCCGGAATCTCCACCATCAGGACTGTGATGGCGCCTAACATTACACTGCTAAGCAAGCAAACGTTAGAGATTTATTAGCTAATCCTTTTACGTTTCAGTGATTAGTAATAAGCCAACTATACAAGTCAAATAAACGCGAAAGTAAATAAATAACAACTTTTATTATATACTATCACTACCCAGAATTCGGTGTCACAATTCACGAATATTCTAAGATTTTTACTACAAGTATTTATCCGAAAGAAAATACAACTGTTTGCAAAATAGAGAAAGTGTCACACCTCCTTTTTACACACCTACCCCGAAGGATAATGTATAAGGGAGTTTTTCCATTTAAAGTGACATTATTCGAAATGGGATTATTTATTTGATTTTTAGAGTCGCCACTTGGGATAGGATTGGCTTTTGGTGTCCCAAGTCACCGATTTAATTTAAATCCCAAATCGAGGAAAATTTCGACTTCCCAATTGGAGTCTGCGAACCAGAAATTCTGAATAAGGAATTCTGTTGACCCGAGGGAAGGTGTTAGGCACCCCCGGATCCCGTGGTTCTAGCACGGTCGCTTAAACTATTATAAATGGCTAAAATCTGATTTTTTATACATATTATTATTTACCGCTTTTAGTTATTTTTACGAAAGTGAACGCCGTTTAAGAGCGTGTTTTCGGATCACGTCACATGAAATGCACCCGGATCCGCGACACCTCTTATTCAACGTTTTGGGATTTGGATTTGGGTTGCATGAAATGCACACCCGAGTTTAGGAAAGTAATATTATTAAAATTCGCGCCTAAAGTGACTAGCGTATTATTATCTTTGCGGGAAGCCATGAAAGTTCGCTAAATGGCATGTCCCGATTTCTAAGTATTTCAATAGAAGTAATTGAAGATGGCCACGCAATTTATGCATTTTATTTGGCGCGGCGCACCTCGTTTTTATTTTAAAGGCCAACCTAAAAGAACTACGATTTTCTATCAAGTATTGTCTGTAAAGGGACCCTAATTAGCATTATGAATTATTATTAAAAAAAACATCAAGGGATTCGGGCCTCAAACTCAAGTCCACATTTGAACAAGAGGATAACCTCCTAGTTCAAACGTGCTACTTAGCTTGGAAGGCCCAAATTATAATTTAAACTCAACAACCTTTAAATCTAATGGCTTAAATTTTCAACGTGTTGGGCCTCAAGAGCCAGCCCTTGGGAATAAGCCTGTCCCATTTTATTTGTAAAGCCACCTACAAGGCTGTCCAGCATCCAGGCCATAACACAGGCCCAGATAGAAAATAGGTTGCAAGTTGGGACTCAGGATTTAAATCACTTGGGCTTCTGATTATACATTAGGCCCAGATCCCATTTTTTAACAAAAGTACAGCCTTGGGCTCTTCAATGAGCTCAAGCTGATGTTGATTCTTGGGTTTGTTAATAATTTTGTAGACAAATGCATAATTTGCTCAAGTCACAGACGTGCTAACTTTGAAATGCAAACGTCTCCTGTAGTTTCAAACTTGTCTAATAATGGATAACCAATACACTCGATCTAAAATTTTTAACAACCTTTAGCTTCAATTAATACACCTCAAAACAGCTCAATCGCAAACTGAACATGAAAGGGACTACCGGAGCTTCCACTTCGTTTCTGAATCATTTTTGAACAAACAGATGATATGACTATTATCTTTAACACATGTCTAATAATCGACCACAAATGTTTGATGAATAAACTAAGACTAATATTATGTTCAAGCTACAGGGCCAGCTTCATTGCAAACATGCTCATACGTTACTTTAGATTCTGCTTTCAAATGGCATCTTAATCTAACCTTAAATCTCAAATTAATCTAATAACCTAAACTGAGATTATCGACAACTAGTATTCTACTCATAATACTCACATAAGTCTGAAAAATAACAGTTCATACAGTCCGATTAACATGAATAATATAATGTTATAACATGTGTTTAAACCAAGTAAACTACTAAGGAATTCGTAAGACAAGCAGATTGTATTTCATGATCTCTTCCGATATTGATTCAAGTTTCACATGTCATTCGAGGCTGAAAAAAGTACCTGGAAATTAGAGAAAAGTAAGAAGAAGGTAGAGTCAGCAGCAGTACACAGCAGTCACAGCTCAAAACTAATCTCAAATCCCAGTGTTAGTATCGAATGAAACCCAGCAGCTCACATAATCAACAAATAAACTAAAATTTTGACTTGAATAAACCAAATTCAACTCAAAACCAGCTCAGAAATTTCGAAAAACCCCAAACACTGAAAACATTTAAGCTAGAATTTGAAATTGTTAGAATTTGAAGCAGCTAGAATTTTCAGATCTTCCAAAACTTCTTTAACAAGGCAAGGGGTATGCCTTTTTATAGGCAAAACTTAGGGCAACTTTCAGATTTTCCCTTTACACCTTCTAGTCCCTTATTAGTTTTCAGTTTTTAGCTAAAAGTCCTCAAGGGACTTACTTCTTACCCAAGTTATACCACTAAATTTTTGAAATTATAACTGGACCCCATCTAGAAAGTTCTAGGGGTTTCCAATTCAGTTATTAAGGGATTCCTTCTATAAACTACCTATATTACCCTTTCTTTTAATCTGAAATTACTAAGACTAGCTTAGCCCTTTCACCCTAGTTAAATTGACTATGGTTAAACTCAAAGAATCCTAATTCAACTATATCCAAACATTATCAATAAGAACATCTAGAGATTCTAATTAACACTAATTAACCAAACTGTAATAAACTTTCAGGTATAACCAAACTAAAATCATTCTAACTAACACTAAAGCCCTAAGGCTGAATTGAAAATTGAAGTAAGTAAGTAAAAGAATGCCATCGAAATCAAATAGGATTAATCATCGGATCAAACAAATAAGATCATCAAGAGTTAAAACACACGGACGAAATTAACAAGGCAAAATCAAATTAAAACCCTAAACAAAAGAACTACTGAGACGAGCAAATCAAAATCAGAAAACTAATGCATAAAAAAAAAACGGAAAAAAGGATAAAAATAAAAAATAAAAAATAAAAATAAAAATTTAGGAAAACTTACTGATTGAACTTAAAACTCTGCTTATTGTTCCGGTTCATATGATCTTGAAGCTAATCATTCCTAAGTATCGCAGAACAAAGGCTTGAGTTGACATGACTTGAACTGTTGAAGCTCGAAATTAGATCCGAAATTTGAGAAATTCTGGTCTATTTCGAAGGAAACCAGTGCCATATTAGGTGTGAAGGAGGCATGAGGATTATAGGGTGTTGTTTTGAAGTGATTTGGAGGTGGCGCCGCCACCGGAGAAACTGTGGCGGCGCTAGGGTTTTGCGGATTCGCGGAATTTGGTGAGGATTTGAAGAAAATAGCAGTCAGATTTGGAAAGGAGGGGAGGAGAGGAGGCCATGGTGTATTTTTGGTGACATTTGGAGCTCCGCCGCCGCCGTGGGCGATTTCCGACGGCGGAGTTAGGGCGGAGCCGGCGGAGTTACACGATACGAGGAAGGCGAGACTGGTCTCTTAATTTTCAGACATTTTTATTTAAACTCCTTGACTGAACATGGACCGTTGGATTAGGGAGATGGATGGCCTGGATTATTTTGGACCAAAACGGCGTCGTTTTGTATATGGGGGTCTGGACCGGGTTAGTGGGGATTTGGGCTTGGACTGGGGACCGGATTTGGGGGTTTTGGGCATTTGGGCTGGGATTAAAGAGTGGCCCAAAGCTGGCAGCCTATTTAACCTTTTATTCTAATTTCTTTTTCATTTGTTTTCTTCTTTTCCTTTTTTTGCTTTTTTATTTATTTATTAATTTCATTTTCATTTTGTATTTTTTATGATTTTATCAAAATGCAAAATATTAAAGTAAAGCCCTAAATATATTTTCAAAGTTAAACTAATTAATTCCTAAAATTGTTTAAAAACTATTTCGTGAAAAATTCACAATTAACAATTAAAAATACAAAAATGGACTATTTTTGTTATTTTCTTCATATTTGTTCTAAAAATAACTTAACCACTAATTAATCATAAAATATGAAATTAGATCCTAAACGCAAATGCCAAGTATTTATTTTTTATATGAATTAAAATTCACAAATAAAATGCAAACAATCAACAGAAACTAACACAAAATTCACAAAATTGTAAAACAATGAAAGAAATTATTTTGTTTGGAATTTTTGGGAATAATTCATATAGGGCAAAAATCACATGCTCACAGCTATGATGGGCAAAATGAAGAGGTACAACATGTAAACAATTTTCAAGGCCAACGGGGCAACTCTTCCAACCAACAACAGTGGCGACCCCAGGGCAATTGGGGCAATCAACAACAAAGTGGTGGTAATTGGAACAATAATAACCAAGGTGGTAATTGGGGGAACAAGAACCAAGGCAACCAAGGGCATTGAAATGGTAATAACAACAACTGGGGCAACAATAACAATCAAGGTGGATGGAACAATGGGAACCAAGGAAACCGGGGGCAAGGCTTTCAAAGGCCCCCAATGTACCAACAACCGAACAATCCACCCCCTTTCCCTTCTCAAAGTCCTAGTTCTTCGGGTAATGAAATGGGTAGAATTGAAATGATGTTCGAACAAATGATGAAAAAGAATGCGGATTCCGATGCACAATTGGCTTCTCACAATACTTCACTTAGGAATTTGGACGTGCAAATAGGCCAAATCTCTCAATCACCGAATACTCGCCCGAAGGGTGCTCTACCAAGTGATACGATAGTGAACCCAAAGGGTGGGAACAATCATGTCATGGCGGTTACAACACGAAGTGGGAGAGGTGGTGATGTGAATGCCTCGAAACAAAAGCAAGTTGTTGATGATGATGTTGAGTTGCAAGAAGATGTGGTTCCTTTGGTAGTTGAAGATGTGGTTGATGACAATGTGAACAATGAAGTAAGGATTGACATTAATGAAACCGAGGTGGAAACTCAAGAGACCGTGAACCCGTCTAGGGAGCACGTAATTGGCATGCCGGAGCAGGTTGTGCCAAAAGCCAAGGCACCTTTGCCTAGGCCACCTCTCCCCTATCCTCAGAGGCTAGCCAAGCAGAAAAGTGATAATCAATTCAAAAAGTTCATCGACATGATGAAGAGCTTATCCATCAACGTGCCTTTGGTGGAGGCTTTGGAGCAAATGCCTGGTTATGCTAAATTCATGAAGAATTTATTTACAAAGAAAAGATCAATGGACTGTGAAACTATCAAGATGACCCACCAAGTTAGTGGCATAGTTCATTCAATGGCCCCGAAATTAGAGGATCCTGGTGCTTTCACTATCCCCAGCACTATTGGTAGTGCAGACTTTGCCAAAGCTATATGTGATCTTGGGGAGAGCATCAATTTAATGCCCTTCTCAATTTTCAAGACCCTGGGTATTGGGCCACCAAGGCCAACTTCCATGAGATTACAGATGGCAAATAGATCAATGAAGCGACCTTTGGGTATAGTTGATGATGTGCTCGTCCGGGTGGACAAATTTATCCTGCCGGCGGACTTTGTGATTTTGGATTGTGAGGTCGACTATAAGGTCCCGATCATATTAGGGAGACCTTTCCTTGCAACGGGGAAGGCATTGGTTGATGTTGAAGTGGGTGAACTAACTTTCAGGGTAGGTGATGAAAAGGTCGTTTTCCATGTTTGTAAATCCATGAAGCAACCCAATAGCACCGAGGTGTGTTCATTTGTGGACATTGTCACAGCTGTGATCGTGGATGACACAAGTTCTATGATTAACGTGGAGGATCCCCTTGAGGTCGTGCTATTAAATCTTGATGTTAATGATGATACAAGCAGAGTGGAGTGTGTCAATGCTCTACATGGGATGGGCTCTTATTCCTATGAGCCGAGAAAATTGTGTTTGGATCTTGAAAATCGAAAAACTCCACCAACCAAACCATCAATTGAGGAGCCAACGGTGTTGGAGCTGAAGCCACTTCCTCCACACCTCAGGTATGAATTCTTGGGCTCTAATTCAACTTTACCAGTTATTCTTTCTTCTTACCTTACTAACATGCAGGTTGAGGCCACTTTGGCGGTGCTTAAAAGGCGAAAAAGGGCTATTGGATGGACTCTGGCGGATATTCGGGGAATAAGCCCCGCATTTTGCATGCACAAAATTATTTTGGAGGATGATGCAAGGCCTTCCTTAGAACATCAAAGGAGGCTCAATGAGGCAATGCAAGAGGTGGTGAAGAAAGAAGTGATCAAGTGGCTAGATGCAG